AAGGGGAGCTTTGTGACGATTACTCCTGTGGGGGAGGTGCTGGAGGGGGCGAGCCGGCCGACCTTCTTCCGGGGCGTGGCGACGGTGTGCATGAAGCTGTTCAACATCGTGCAGCCGACCAAGGTGTACTTTGGGCAGAAGGACGTGCAGCAGACTGCCGTCATCCGCCGCATGGTCACTGACCTGATGGTTCCGACTGAGGTGGTCGTGTGCCCGACTGAGAGAGATCCCAAGGATGGTCTTGCGCTCAGCTCGCGGAATGTGTATTTGGGAACACGCAGACGAGAGATCGGTACGGTATTGTACCGGTCGCTCAGCGCTGCCGAGGTTCTGTATCGGAATGGCGAGGCGTATGACCGTGAGACGCTGCTGGGGGCCGCAAGGCGCGTTGCCGAGGGAGTGCGGGCGATTCAGAGCTCGCTCCCTGAGGAGAAGAGGGCGCTATTTGAGGTGGACTACATCTCGCTGGCTGACCCTGTTACCATGATGGAGGTGGATCAGGTTGACCCGGAAAAGGGAGCTGTCTTGAGCGGCGCGATCAAGATGCTTCCCGTGGAGAAAGCAGCCGAAGACGAGGATGTTGGCTTAGGAGGCGGCCCGGCTGTCCGGTTGATTGATAATATCATTCTGAAGCCAAAGACCGAATTTTCAAAAGAGTAGAGACATACAATGTCAGGATATCTTATGCGGAAAGATATTCTGCGTATATTCAGACATTCTAAAGCCCGGCAAACAAAAAGATAACAAAAGCAATGATACTATATAGGTTTGGGATATAGCGAGTTCCCCGGTTTTTCATCGAGGTTTTTACATATAGACTACGCTGATAAATAGATAATAAAACAAATATTCTTACAAGTTTGGACGCGCTTCTAGCTTCCTTTTCCTTCTTGCATCCCTCTTTACCCGGCTGAGCGTCTCTTCTTCGTCCTTGCTGAGCCGGGTCGGGGCTTTGCCCTTTCCACTGCGCTCGCCGGCCTCGGCCTCGTCAAACATTTTCTGACCTAGGATGTCAGTGAGCCTGAGCACCCGGCCGCTGACCGTGGCCCCATCACGACGGTTCTTGCCCTCACGACGTGAGCTGGCAATCTTTTCGGTAAACTCCCAGAGTTTCCCACTTGCCTGGACCTTGCCAGTGGCAGGGTCCCGAGGAGGTCGCCAAGTAGGATCCAATTGGATACGGGGAGGGACCTTGGCATCTTTGCTTCGCACAACATGGACCATCTGTTCCTGTTCGAACCGGACATACGAGTTGCGCAAAGTCTCCTTGTTGACGGCTTCAAAGTAGGACAGGTCCCCTTGATGATATAGTGTTTTACCGAGCTGTGAAGGTAATGGTTAGCACGATGGAATATGAGTACTCTTGGCAGGGAAGACGAATTACTTACTGTCTGTGCTGTGTCCTGAGCTTTACTCGATTCGATCCAGATGTCGGTTTTGCCTTCTGGAGGGGTCAACCCGATCAGAGACACCGCAGCCAGCCAGCTAGCTTCGATGAAGGGCCAGATCAGGAAGCAGTAAAAGTCGTAATTCTCTCGCCCAACACTGCGCTCTTGGTCTGAGAGTCCGATTGTCGTGATATTTCCATGCTCGTCACGATCCAGCCGCATGACTTTGTCAGTCTCTAGGCCGAGCAAGGTCTTCTCTAAGTTGCGCTCAAGGCCCTCTCCTGAGAAGATAAACTCTCCACGGAATAGCGACGAGAGGAAGAGAACTTGGGCTCTGAGGTCCTCGTAGGAGATGCTTTGCATTGACGGGCCGCCTCCGAGTTTGACTTTTGTGTACAAGGCAGCACTGACGAGAGCCTCGTAAATAAAGAGATGGATTGTCATATTGCGATAGAATGACAACTGGAATCGATCAACGGCGTAAAAGGTGGGCTCAGGAAGCCCCTCCACGACGCCTACAAGGTCCTTTCCAAGAACCTCGAGGCCACGCTCCATGACTTCAGACAAGGGGACATTGACCGAGTGAGCAACTCTGCCGCCCTTGGCGCGAACGCGATCTGTGAGCCACTCAATCCTTCGTACCAACTCAGCCTTCCCAACACCGCGACCACGAAGGGTAAGCAGAACGGTGCCGATAAGAGCAGTAGGCATGACGACAGAGACTTCATTGATGTCGCCCAGAACTTTGTATCCCAAAGTTCGCAGGATTCTCTCACGGGCCTTCCTGACCTCCGGGTTGTGATGGTCGGTGTCGAGCCCAGCAGGGACGACCGGTAGCCTTGATAGCTGATCATCGATGAATTTTCGCAAGCTCCATGGCTCATTGAACCGGACGTCAACTCTGCCAAGCTTGAGAGAGAGAACCGAGGAGCCGCCAGACAGAAAGTCGGCGAGATTTTCCTTCTTTTTCGGGACCCCTAGCAGCTCAGTCACATAACCCTCCGTTTCGATGACCTTGTCGTACTGCGTGCTGACAGGACAGATGATCGCATCCTCGACTCTACCAGACAGAATGCTGTCAAGGACAAAGCTCAGGATGCCGAACTTGGGAGGGAGAAGCTTGCCGGTACGCGAACGACCGCCTTCAATGAAGCATTCAAAATTGAAACCTTCCTGAAGCAAGGTGTCGATATATGATTGAACTAGTGTGCCATAGAGCGCATCATCACCAAAAGACCTCCTGATCCACATTGCCCCTGCATGTTGGAGGAAGCTGCCCACAACGGGGAAGTTGAGGTTGTCGCCAGCAACAACGACTGGTAGTGTAAGTCCGAGGCGGTAGCATATCAACTGCAAAGAAACGTAGTCAACGTGCGAGCGATGGCTCGGCAGGAAGACAATGCTCTGCTTCTTCTTGGCGGCGTACTCTGCCACCTTCTTCAGCCTCAGGATTTCCTCGCTCGAGACGTGAATGCCCTGATGGTAGGCCCTTGTAAGAAGCTGGGTGCAGAGATAGTACGCGCCGCGGATGAATGTTTTGCTCTCCATCTTGCAGATCATTTCATCGGTCAGCTTCTCTGCGACTTCGAGCAGGGCCGCCTCCAGCTCGCTGCACCGCTGCGCGCGCTTCGCCTTGTAGTTCTCGGCATTGACCTCGATCAATCCCTCCTTTTCCTCCACGCGGACGCGGGTATCGGCGAGTTCTGCGATGCGCTTCTGGAGTAGGGGCGTTTCGAGGACCATGGACTTCATGTTATCCGAGAAGCCCGAGTAGAAGACGGGCTGTCCGGTGATGCGATCGTAGGCGCGCCATCCTTGGCCGGACACGTAAAGGGACACCTCGCGAAGAAATCTGACAAAAGCAAGCCTATTAGTTGACGTGTTCGATGGGAGTTGGCGATCCGGGGAGCTCACTGTAATGGTTCGGCGCGAAAGGAGGCAAATTGATTCATCAACGCTCGCTCCTCTCCATGCTTATCGTCGCCATCTGGCCTGAGGAAGCCGCTGGGCTGGAGCGTCACTTCATCGCCGAGAATCTGGAGGTCTGGTGCCGAGGTAGTGGTCGAGTCGGAGTGATCGTCGCTCTGCGCCATTGTGCTGACCGGCGGTCGTGTTTGGGCTGGAAACGTTTGGTAGGAAGTCAAGGACGGCAGGGCGAGCTAATCATCTGTTAAAGATCAGAATTCCAGAGCATTGCATCACCTCGGCCATGTACAACCCGACAAGTGTGCGGTGCTCTGGGATTCAATGATTATTGTCTGGAGTATGCATGGGTCTTGCGACTGTGGAGGAGGATCCCAAGAGCGTCACTGGACTGGAGTCGCAGCACAGACAGTGCGTGTGGGGGGCCGATGGACCGAGCGCTACCTCAGGTTAGGTTGCCTCTAGCATGTGATGGCCCTGGAGCTTGGCAGCGGTGCAGGCTTAGTGGGTTCCAGGCTCCTACAAGCCGCAACCAGCAAGAAATAATTCTACATCAACTTTTCGACCTCTGTTGAGCACACCACGACAACCTGAGCAAGGCAGCCTGGCTCATCCTCCAACATTTTGATGGAAGAATCACGGATCTCTGAACAACCCGCCCATAACCTTTAAAATGTCCATCGCCGCACAAAAAGCTACTCGAGATCTCCTGGCCCGAGCGCACTCACCAGACTCCGTGGATCGCATCTACAAAGAGAAAATTCAACATCGCACTCTCCACCTCCGCCCTACATCTCCTCCTCCTTCCGTTACAAATGCGCGGGCAGCTCGCAGGAGAGCCCGGCAGCAGGCAAAGGACAAGAAGAAGCAGAAGCCCGCGCCCCTGTCTTCCCGCGAGCGGCGCAAGCTAGGCTTCTACGACATCCCGCGAGACAGGCAAAAGTACGAAATCTACGAGCCGCTCAATAAACTATGGATGGGTTATATGTGTGAGATCCTGGGGGGTGACGTGTACAACGTGGGACCCAATGTCGGGGCGAAGCTCGCCAGCGCAGAGTTTCATGGAGCCAACGTTGAGGTTGTTCGGAGCAGATGTCCCAGCAGGGTGGGCATAGCAGGGATTGTTGTGAGAGATCGCAAGTTTACCATGGAGATCATCACGAAGAAAAAGGGCGCCAAGGTTGTTCCCAAAGAAGGGACTACGTTTCGAGTTGCCGTGGAGGTTCCTGAGGCGCAGACAGATGCTACTGCCGAGCCGTCGAACAAGAAGTTTATGTTTGACATCCTGGGCGACCAAATGATGGTCCGCTCAGCTGACAGGGCGAATCGAAAGTTCAAGATGCACTTTCTACCAGAACTTTAGAATCGCTAGCAGCCCTCAAGGAAGCGATGGTGAAGCTGCTGTCAGGCTCTTTCTACCTTGAATTCCGAGGGTAGGACCTTCCCGGATACGGGTTGTAATAGGAAAGTGGCATTATTAACAGAGAGGGAGGGTTGGGCTTGTCTTTGAGACTGCCTACGGCCGTCTGTCCGTCGTTGACCTTCTCTCCCACTTCTTTCTCACTCGACACCGGCATCTTGCAAACTGCTCGATTCAATCACAAGCCACATCGTTGCCCACACCAGCTCTGCCATTACTAGAACTCACGCATTAACCATTGCCCTCTAAATCTTGACCGATTCGTCGCCATGTCTGACGGACGCGTTGCCACGCTTCCCACTTTGTTATTCCAGCACCCTGGCCATGCGTTTGCGCAGCTCCTCCGGTTTCTCGTGGAATTCTCGATGGTACTATGCCGGATAAAGGACGTGGTGTACGGTCAGGAGCGTAAAGCCCTGGCCTTCGAGATGACATTTGTACGTGTTTCTCAGGATTCTTCATTGAAATTGATATATCATGCTCACATGTCTTCTGATTAGGTAGCTTGTACCTTTCTCTCCACGCTCGGGCTCTTTGCCGCAGCTTACTACAATCCTAAGGTTGGGCGATCAGTGCACTATTTCGCGATTGCGATTCTTGTTTTCTCGTGGGGCCTCACCATTACTGTCATATTTGAGGTCATTGACGACACTCTTGCATGCTTTTCTGGACTGTCCGGACGCACTGACGCCGCGTTCTGCTTCGTGGCACAGGGACGGACTAGACGACAGAGGATGGTGATGTATTGGATTCAGTTTCATAATCTATTTTTTCAGGCAATCCTGGACGTGTAAGTTTTCAGCTCCTCTGTCTCCTCCCTTCATCTCGTATTATCGAAATGATAGTCCGACCTGGGATATGTTCTAACGGCGTGTCTCAAGGCTATTTTGGACATTCAATACAGCAAGGCTAGGATCTCTCCAAACTGAGAGATTTGCATACGGATACGACTACGACGTCGCCCTATAGGCCTCTCAAATCTCCCTGGAGCATTCACATTAATCGCAGCCCGCTTACGACTCAATCGATGGACCGCCAGTTCAAAATTATTTCCACCAAGTCTATGTTTGAATTATTAGTTTATCACTACGAGTGAGATAGTCTACCAAGTGCGATAATCATCCTCAAGTATGCATTCGATATTGATGGCGTGGATGGAGGGAAGAGCCCTGAACGCGTAAGACAAGCCAGACCGTGTTGCGAGGGAATCCTGGAGAAGATTCAGCCCCCCGCTTTCGAGTTCTGTCCATATCTATAGAATAAGCAGAATAGGAGGTTGAGTTTCCCTCAAGCTGAATGCACTCATGCATGTATAGAATCTACAATCTTCAGTGTTATGCCAGTGAAAGTCACGACTGATCGTGCTGCTTGCAAAGTAAAACATCGACAGATGACCGTTGGACTATCTGCGTCATGTTTCAACTTGAATTAATTGTTGTTTTCTGTTCTCAGGACGATCCATGCTTTTTCTGACTGCTCCCCATAAAAGGTGAAATGCACGGGAATTGGCGACCTACCTACCTCGGACACTGTTGCGTCAACAACTACATTGGATACGCGGTAATAGTAGATTAGTAGTGTCATGGAGCTAGCCAGCAGCTGACTGACAGAAATGAGCGAGAGCACTTTCTGGAATAAGTGGATTAATACGGCAATGTTTGTGTTTATACTTTTAAAGTCACCAGAAGGGTAGGTGGCTGTGGCTGTGGCTCGTCGCCAGTCGCCTCCAGCTGTTTGCCACATCGCGTCTTGGATTAATCAAGCGCCTGGCCCGGTGCCATGGGTGATAAGATCCAAAGCAAATGCCGAGTGAGTCACTAACAATCACTAAAAGGCTCCCGGGTCAGCGGTACCTCTGGAGCTAGGAAAGTGTTCTGCTTTTGGGGGCGGCGGCAGGATGAGGCTAATCCTCGGCGGAACCGGGCTCCGTGGTGAGCTTGGGAGGGATTGTTGTGCCCTGTGCGACCTCAGCATTGTGTGCTGGATGTTATGGTGGATGGGCCGTGTTGTGTTGTGCTGGCATCAAGAGTGACTTGACCGGCAGGGCGGACATGGGCTGTCGACGAGGTACTGTCCTGGACCAGGTACCGACACGAGGGACCAGGTGGTCAATCGCTTTTAGGGCGAGGTGGGAACCACTGGTGGCCACTGGGCTGGCACTGACGGGCACTGGCTATTACTGGCAGGGCAGGCTGCTGGCTAGGTCCAGCCCCGGCATCCACCCTCTCTCCACCCACCAGCCAGTAGGCGCCCTGTGACTGGGATTACGCTTTCCGACCTCTAATTTTCCCTTTTCAATCAAACCCTCTGTGAATTTTTCAGCCAGGTTCCTTGACCTCACGTCACGACAGCATTTCGAAAACCCTTCATTGGCATTCCCATCGCCTTCACGACCTCAACCACCCACCCCCCATTTGCAATCCCGCGCCCTCTGTAGCGATCCAGCATACAATCACTATCCGGTATATTTTCTGTTCTCATAGCACGACGCTACTGGCCACTTTTTATCCTACTTTTACCTTTTACATCATTGACCAGCACACCCGTTCCGTCCCCGCGGTGGCTCTCGATACTTCTGCTCCCACATCCCCCGGAGTCGAAGCTACCAACCCTTTCGACCCTCGACCTCGACGTGTCATCCAGCATATAATTTCACAATGCCAGCCAATCTACCCTCGAGCTTTGCATCAGCTGCAGCTGGTCAGAACGCCAATAGAGTTGCGGGTAGGGCAGGAGTTGGAGGCGACTGGTACGTTGGACAGCCCTCCCTTAAAAATACACCCACGCGTGCCCAAGTGTGACCATGTTGCTTCCTGCGAGCTTGGCCCTGCCTTTTGAGGCCCTGATGCTTCCATTCGTCGACCTCCAGAGCTGCTTCCCGTCGCGCACCTCCTGCCGTCCTCAGTTGTACATGGGCGCGCACACACGAACACCTCCCCCCATGCCTACCATCGCGTTACACCCTCGTGCCCTGTCTTTCCTCTGCTCTGTTGATTCCTCGCACACGCACGCCCGTATTTATATATGCTGACTTCTGCCACCAGGTCTCGCAGGGATGGACGTTCAGCGAATGGCACATTGACCCTGCGCCGTTCCTCGACCACACCGCTCAGCCAATCATCCCAGACGCCAGCACCGGTAGACAACGCTGTCCAACCCCCAAGCGCCGACCCGTCAGCGGTAGAACTGAGTCCTGCACGATATAGTAAGGAGGATCTACTAGATATGTATCGCCCGCAAAGGATCAGCGAGGACCCCTCGCGTCTCTTCATGCAAGGCTGGAATCCAGGCCACGTGAATGGCGGCGCCGTCAGGGCATGGGGAAAGAGTAACGAGAACCACGTTCCACAAGAGCCTGGTGCCTGTTGGGACGTGAACGGGGAGAGCACACCAATGGGACATCAGGGTTTGACTTCGGACGAAAAAGAGGTGTGTACTTCTCCACCCCCCATATCTCAGGTAGGATACAAAAGCTCACCGCTCGTTAGGCCTTTATGACGGAAATCAATTCGCCTCTCAAACCCCCAACAGGGAACAACAACACGAATAACCCAGGAGCCGTGAATGGTCGGAAACCATCATTTTCGCATGGATCAGGAAACTCATTCGCCGTGAGCTCGCCATCATCTGCAACCCGACCCGGCACCCGCAGACGAGAAACGCTGGACTCGAATCCTTTCAGCCCTGGAGGCCTCAACTCACCCACAACGACGAGAAATCGCGACGACTCTTTCTGGTATTCCCGCAGGAGCACCGATATAAAAGAGGCGGAGGTGGACGAGTCTGCGGAGGACCAGGGCCCTCGTGACCCGCAAAACAAGCTGCCATTTGGAAACCTGATCCGGGCCAACACGACTGGAGGGACATCAGGCATGGGTTCAATATGGTCCGCGTCGACGCCAACCACTCCGAGCGGCGGATCTTTTGGCAATTTTGCAATAGGAAGCGCTGCTGTCGGTACCAAGCCTGCTGCAGGTCCTGTAGGTGGAAGTCGTCTCGCGCATCTAATCCCCAAAGATCAAGCTGAAGCTGCACAAGCTCGGCAGGGCGAGGGCCAGGGAACTGCTAACCAACAGTCCTGGCGTTCTCGCCAACGAACCGACACGGACCCGTTCGGTGAAGATGGCCTGTCTGGCAGTGCTGTTCTCGGTGGTGCTCAAGATACTGCAGCCAATAATATTTCGCAGACTGGGCGTGTCGGAACACTGGGCACGCCTGTCAAGGGCTCGACCGGCGACTTTGGTATGGCTGGACTCAACTTGGGGGGCGATGAGAATGACCCAGTGAGCCCTTCCGAGACAAATCCATACCGTAGCCCTCCAGCTGAACGTCATGATCAGGATGACGATGAATCGGGCGGACCGAAACAGCCCATCCCCTTTCCCCTCGACCAGTCATCTGGTTTCAACCCTCTGCAGCAACGCGGCTTCGGCCCAGGGTCTGAAGGGGCTGATCGTAGTCAGACATCTAGTGCAAAAGGATTCCCTATCAGCCACATGTCAGCCTGGGGAGCGCCTGGCCCCAGCGGTACACCAGACCGAGAACGTGCCAACTTCCCTGGCGCTGCTTTCTCACCAGCCATTTTCAACTCGATGAATGATATTCAATCGCCCACTTTGGGTAACCTCAACAACGTTTTTGGGCCAGCTGGCAATATCGGCACTGGTAGTATCGGTCGCGGAAGCAAGCTTGGATCTCTTTTCCCTGCCGCTATGCAAGCGCAGATGCAGTCTCATGAGCATGAGGGCCTCAGCGACTCAGGCCCAGATCTTCGACAAGCCAACCCTCTTGGCGCCATCGGCCGCAGCAACTTTCCTGGTCCCATCCGAGACACGGAGAGCCCGATGCGATCCAGTCGTGGAGTTTTCGAGGAGCTTTTCCCTTCGAGCGAGGCAACCCGATCCCAGGCCTTGTATGGCTCGGCAGAACCAGTTCAGCCCGGTGGCACTTCCACAGCTCCGCAATCCTTCACTCCTGTGAGTGGAGGCATGAACTTCGGTGGTGCTGGCCAAAATGTGATTGAGCCTCCTTCAGCACAGGCACGCACCATGGTTATGCCAGACCGGATGAGGTGGGTATATCTTGATCCCCAGGGTCAAATCCAAGGTCCATTTACCGGTCTAGAGATGAACGACTGGTATAAGGCTCACTTCTTCACGCCCGACCTGAGAGTGAAGAAGGTGGAGGATCCGGAGTTCGAACCACTAGGACAGCTCATTCGACGTATAGGAAACTCTCGTGAGCCCTTCTTGGTTCCACAAGTCGGTATCCCCCACGGCCCGCCGTCCCAAGCGTCTGGGTTCCCAGGCGCAGCCCCCGGAAGCGTCGTCCCACCACTCAGCGGAGTGTTCCCCAGCTTCGGACGAACCCTGACAGCCGAGGAGCAAAATAACTTGGAGCGTCGTAAGCAGGAGGAACAGTACCTGATGGCCCAGCAGAGAGAGTTTGTCATGCGCCAACAAGCTATGAGTAGATTCCAGGGCCAACAGCAACCTGGCCTGCAACACCACTCCAGTGCTCATAGCTTGCAGAGTCAGCCCAGTTTCGGCAGCATCACCTCACCCATCGGCCTGCCCGGCCAGATACCGCAGCAGGCCATTGGTGCCATCGGTCCAAATTCTACCGGCTTCTTTGACTCGGCTGCCGATTCCCAGGGGTCACAACCGGGTGGTCCCTCGTTGTCGGGAAACGAGGAGCCTTCAGGAGATGAGTTAGCGCATCTCTCCGCCACGGAGCGTCAGATTATGAGCGCACTGCAAGCAGGTCAACCCACGAACCAAGCCCCTGGGGCTTTGGCACAGGAGGTTGACTTGCGTAGCGGTTTGCCAGACACTGACCAGCTTGGAGAGGATCCTGAAGGCTTTCGCGAGCGCTTGAAAGAGTTTGAAGACCTACGGGCTCAGCATGACGCAGAGCAGGCAGCTCAGGCACAAGAAGTGGCCAACGAGTTGGCTGAACCCGAGCCCACCGCCAACGCTTCTGCAACCAACGATGTACCAGCAGGGCAACCAGTTACGACACGTAAGACCAAGATGAAGAAGAAGTACGAAGACTTCACCTTGTCTCTTACTCAACAGGTACAGAAGACACAGGCTGCTGTCGCTGCAGCGCAATTTGTGCAACCTGTCGAGATTGACATGCCCATGCCATTCCCGCCTCCCGCTTCCACGACACCCCTCCCAGCCCCGACAGCCCAGCGGGTTCGTTCTCATCTTCCAGAGCAGTATAGCCGCTCGCAGTCTGGTAGTCCCAACGACGAGGCCAGCAACGCACCCCCGCCGCTTGCTCCTTGGGCCAAGGAGCCTGGAAATGACGCCCACAAGGGCCCCAGCTTGAAGGAAATCCAGGAAGCCGAAGCGCGCAAGGCCGCCAAGGCAGAAGAAGCTGCTGCCGCGCTCAGAAAAGCTGCCCTGGAACAAGAAGCCGCATTGCTCAGAGAGAAGGAGAAGCAGGCTGCAGCTACCATCACAGTTGGCCTGCCTGCGACTAGCACTTGGGGGCATGTCGCTTCTCCAGTTGCGACAACGAGCAGCCCTTGGACCAAGCCCGGCGCTGTTAAGGTTCCCGCTCCAGGCCTGGGCAGTATCAACACGCCCGCGGGTAAGAAGACACTTGCCGAAATCCAGCAAGAGGAAGAACGCCGCAAGCAAAAAGCCAAGGACGCCGCGGTTCAGTCTGGGGCTGCTCCTACGGGCTCCAAGAGTTATGCCAATCTCGCCGGAAAGCCAGGCCAGCCACCCATGCTGGCTATCCCTGCTACTGCTTCCACACCCCCAGGCGCTGGTTGGGCTGTCGTCGGTGCCGGTGGGAAAGCTAAGGCGTCCCCTGCTGGCCCAGCCGGTCAGGCCCGTTCCGTCAGCGTGAACAGTCCCAAGACTCCGGTTGCCGCCACCGTCATCAAGTCAATCTCCCGCTCTGGCCCCGCCAGCAGCGTTAGCAATGCCGCAATGGATGAGTTCCGAAAATGGGTTACCCGTGAACTATCCCGCGGCATTACCGGTGTCACTGACAGTAAGTTGACTCAGTCTTCATTCGCACACTCGCTTGAACTTCCCACTGACATTAATCTTAGTTGCCGCATTCGCTAGCACTCTTGATGCTTTCCCCGCCGATTCTGGACTTATTGCTGATGCCGTTTATGCAAACTCGACCACAATGGATGGACGCCACTTCGCGGAGGAGTACGTCCGACGTAAGAAGCTAGCCGAGAAGGGCGTCGCTGAAAAGCAGCCATCTGTTATCACAGAAGTGAAGGCCGGAGGTTCCGGTGGAGGATGGAGCGAAGTTGCTAAGAAGAGCAGCACGCCAATCACCCCTACAGCCCCCAAAGATGATATCCAATCTGCCGCTGGCTTCAAGGTTGTCCCTAGCAGGAAGAAGGGCAAGAAATAGAAGAACTTCCCCTTCGAAGCGTTGAAGGAGCGGAGAGCCTGACTCTCGCACCAGCAAGTGTTGAGCTCATATATTGTGTCATGTTTGTATTGTTGATCTTTTTATGAGAGGGTTTGCGCGTGGCGGTAGCGATAAAAGCATGAAAGCGATGGTGCCGTTTGTTGGAATACGTAAAAAAGGGTTCTTGTGGTATGTGGACTGCCATCTTTTTGTATCATCCTCGAGGATGGATTGGTGGTGCATGTGTCCGGTTGTGGGACTCGTGTGTATATTCAGCGTGTGACGACTCAGCCCGAATGTTGTTTTATTCAGTATAACTTGGTGCGTTTCACTCAAGTCTGCCGCTGTGAGAGCTGCCGGGATGCAAGACAAATGATACTTTATGAGATGACGCCGCACATGTGTTCCAATATTATTTCTTGCCACGCTCGATAAATTGTTTGAACGGGAAGACGTGGTAGATTGCATGTACCTGTGTCAAGATGATACCTTGCTCTATGCCAGTCACGATTAATCCATGATGAAAGTGAAAAAAATATTTATTTATTTCTATAGACTTTTGATGCGTGCATGTTCTACCGCTCTGCCTTCAACCCGTCCATGATGTTCTGCAGGGTCCTCCAGCCCTCGCTGTCCTCCCAGTGCTCCTTGCCCTTGCCCATGGTGCTCCTCACCGCGCTCCGGACCTTGCCCTTCCACTTTGCCCCGATGGCGGGGACGTCCGGCCCCCAGTTCTCCAGCATCGAGGCCAGCTCGTCGGTGCGCGCGACCACCGTCTCCCAGGCCGACTTGTCCGTCGTCCAGTCCACGCCCGCCGACGCCGACAGGCCGGCCGTGGAGGATGACGACCCCATGGCCGCTCGCCAGGCGCGCTCCGAGGCGTCGATGGCGCCCGCGTAGTCCTTGCGCCAGGCGCGGAGGCGGGCGAGGAGGCTCCACAGCTCGGAGCGGTGGGTGATGATTGGGAGGACGTCCTCCTCCAGGAGGCGGGTGACGAGGCGCTCGGGGGAGCCGCGCGGGGGCTCGTAGATGCCGTCGATGAGGTTGGCGGCAGGGTCCCTGTCCTTGGAGAGGACGACGTCCTGGAGGAGGGCGGAGAGGAGGTCGGCATCGACGGCGTCCTCGGTCTTGCGGATGCGGAGGATGTTGCGGAGGGCGAGGACCATGTCCGGGACGGGGGGAGGGCGGATGCGGGAGGAGAGGGTGAGGACGTTGTCCCAGATGCGCCAGTTGTCGTGGGCGACGGAGGCGCCCTTCTTGTAGGCTGCGAAGGCCTGGGCGAGGAGTTTCTTGGGGTCGCGGGAGACGGTCTTCTCGTCTGGGGTCGTGGAGGTGGCGGCGGGGAGGTCGTCGTCTTCCTCTTCGTTGGCTGGCTGCTTCTGCTCTGCTGTTTCCGTCTCTTCGGGCTTGGAGTCTTTGGTCTCGGCGATGACTTCGCAGTAGAGGCTCCAGAGGGCGCTTCCCAGGTTGCTCCAGGTTCGGGCACCCTCGCCTCCGCCGAGGTCGGTGGCGCTGCTGATGGATCTGTTGAAGGCCTCGGCGGCGTCTTCGAAGTTGGCGAGCCGGAGGCTGATGTCGCCCAGTCGACTCCACATGTCGGAGCTGAGACGGTTCACGGAGGTGGCCTTCTTGTATGCTTCGCGGGCGTTCTCCCATTCCCTCTTCTGGATGTAGTGTTCGCCGAGGGACTTTTGAGCCCGGGCGTAGCGATGCTTAGAGATCTCCCACGCCCGCTCGTAGTGTGATGCGTCGCTCTCGAGGTCTCCAAGGATACACCAGAGACGCGGGGCGTTAGGTGGGGGTGGGCTTCTCTCTGGCCCGGAGAAGTCGGCGCCTTTCAGGTAGACTGGATCACCAATGTTCTTCTCCTCGTCGGCATCGGAGGGCGCGGTCTGGGCTGTCTCTCCGGTGCGGTGGAATAGACGCCAGCGGATGATGCCCTTGGCTTTCTCCTCACCACCGCTTCCTCGGCCATCCTCATCCTGTTCGGCTGCGGCCGCACTGCTGGCAAGGCAGAGGGCAACTTCGGCCCATAAACGGAGGCGCTTGAAGATCTCAAGGGCGGAAGCAAGAGAGCCGATACCAGCCCATGCGTAGGCAAGCTCGGATTCGAGATGCCAGCGTGGAGGTGTAGAAAGGGTGTGAATATACTGGAGACGGATATGTGCTGGTGCGGATTCGGAGGGTTTGGGGGCTGGAAGGAAAGATGTTGGTTTCGAGATTGTGGTGGAGGGAGTTGGCTCATCCACGTTGTCTACTTGGATGGCTGGAACGTCGGGGGCATCCCCCGATTCAGCTGCCTCCTCCGATGAGGTGGAGGAAGACGCTGTAGTGTCAGTCAATACCTGGTCGGCCACGGCCTGCAGCTGTAGAACACCGCGCTCAACCGTCCTGCTGCGATGGACCTCGATTCGCGAACGCACAAGCAGGGCTTGAGTGTATATCTGCCAGTTGGTTGACTTGTCGGCTAGCACTCGGACTGCGTAGGGGAGAATCTCCTCTGATGTCAGGGTGTCGACCGGGGAGAAGGCATCCTTCAATGTAGCCTCAGTAAGCAGAATGATCTGGTCAAGAGGCGACAGCTGTGGTTGATCATCGGGGGAGAGATCTGCCAATGCCGAGGGAAGTTTCTTCTCTTCTGCCTCATGTCCATTCTCCTCCTTTGAAAACTTGATCTCTTCCAACAGGGTATCATCGTTGAGTTTCAAATCCTCCGGCTTTACCGAGCCGCCCTCCTTTTCTCCGCCGGTCGTTGTAGCGCTCTTAGCGAGCACGACAAGCTGGCTGATATTCTTCTCCTGGAATTTCGTCCTCTTTCCAAGAGCTCCTGACAGCTCGTAGAGAACGCCGCTTTCTTTCGAAGCCTTGTCCAGTGTTTCTCTTGCCAGGTCATTGCGCCCAAGAAGGATATAGTTGTTGGCAGCCTCGACAAGGAACATGACCTTGTCCTCCTTCGCCCACCCCTCGCTCTCGGTCGCCCACACATCCTCGCTGAGAAGCTGCTTGCCCACAGCCTCAATGCCATTGGTGATAGCTCCCGCCAAGGTAGGCACCTCACTCCACTGAGAACTTCTCGTAAAGTTCGAGCCTGGGCCCAGGCTGGGCTGTGTGAGGAGCTTGTAGTGCCAGGTGTTCACCCGGAGGCGCATCCAGGTGGTGCTATATTTCTGAGTACCGCCACGAGGGGAAGGCAACTCCAGATCCTGGGTGGAATTCTTCAGGATCTTGGTGAATATGTACTTTGCGAGGGTGAACAGCTCGAGGTGGGGGATATAAGCGTAGGGAGACACGCCGTCAACCTCCAGCTCCCTGAGACAAGCCTTGCGCAAGTCGTCTAGCGTTGCGCCCTGCTTCTCTGCCGTCCACGCCGCCAGGAATCGTTTCTCGACGCTCCTCACCGAGGCTTCGGGGAGGACGGGACCCGTGACGTTCGCTTGCAGGAAGACGTCCAGGGCTGATACTCCAACACCAAAAACATCCTCAATGGGCGCGTCAATGGCCGCCTCTTTACCTTCCACGCTGGCCAGTTGCTGAATGAGTGCCTTTATGGGAGCCTCGGCTTTGCTCCCGCTGGCTAGGACGGCCAGAAGGGCCTCCTCGTATTTGCTGTCCGCCGCCATGACGCGCGGGAACAGGTAGGACCCAAGTCTGCGGATACAAAAATGGGATGAAATCTCCAAAATCGGTGGACAAAAAAATCAATAAAAATAATAGACTTATTTTCCAAGCGAAACCCCCCAGGAATCCCTCTATAAACCAACCGCGGAATCGAGAGTTTGTGGTCGCGCAAAACTTGGCGTCCGGTGTGACTGGCGATAACAGCTTATCTCAATTTTTTTGCGACTTCATGGTGGGGGCGGGGTTATTCCAGCGCCCAGCTCCAGGCAGACGTCGCTGCTTATGTAAGACCGCATTTCGCCGTATTAGACGGTCGTGGCCTTCGCTTTGGTTTGGAGTAAGGTCATGGAAACTTGGGGAATACGAAGATGATTTTATTCCGCCACTGGCTGTCATGTGTAATACCTGACAAGTCTTCGAGCCAGGAAACATTCAGAGGCAGGTCTTGGCCGGAAGAACGCAACATTCGTTTGCCAACACAGTTTAACCAGGACACACGCAACAGTGCACACCTAGACACAAGCAATACAAGTAGAGACAGTAGGGGATGGGATGGCACCTATAGGAACACCTAGATAGGGAAGTCACCACGGCATGCCCGAGAACTAGCGTTGTATTGCATGGGCGATCGTCGAAGATCACCCGTCAATCAATGCAAGGTTGAGAGGCACTAGACGAGCTCTTGAGATAAGCAGGGGTGTCGGACAAGAAATGTGTCTATCTCTCCGATCACATGTAGATACTATGCTAAGCGATAAGAGTATATCTTCTTGTCCAGGCAGATGGGATCATGTTATACCATGATAGAAGCACTTTGCAACAAGGAAATAGGAAAAGGGGTAGCTGTTAGTCAGTAAGAACAGAACACACAAACCTACCAGAACATGCAAACAGTCAAGATCATTCATGTCAAACGTAGAGTCATACTTTCTTGTGAGTTCAATGCTGGTATTCACTTCCAGTGCATTATTCATTCAAATAGCAACCCGGCACTTAAGGCCACATCTCGCCAACTCGGGGGTATATATGCCACATTCCACCATGCACCATCAAGTCTAATTGCAATGATTAAATAGTAGAAGAAAAAGGAAATAGACACGGCGACATGTCAGATCAGCGGAAAGAGACAGGGAAAGAGCCTGCATATCTCGTCGACGGTAGCAATCATTGACCGGAATAAAGGGTCACACATAACAATCATCAGGGTACCAGCACCACACAGATCATCATTCAGCACCATCGTCACCCATGACATTTCTTTCACGTCTTCACCACATCACCGTGTTTGACGCTGGGGAATTTATTCCTCAAGGTACTTGTTCCGGCCAATGCCGATGAGCTGAAGCATCTCGGCCCAGAAACCAGGCGGCTTCGTGGTGAACCGGGCTTCGTAGCGATCAATGACAGGAGCCTCCCAGACCAAGTCGCACTCTTCGGGCTTAACAAACTTGGTCTTGTGGTACAGCTTCCAGCCACTGAATGTGAGAATGGCGATGATCTGCATGGAGTATCCACGGAAGAAAACCTCGACATCAAACTTAGGCCTGAAGGCCTCGTACTGGTAAAAGATGACCAGGAGCATCTGGAAACTAAGCGCGATCCAAGCACCGTAAGGCTGGAACCAGCCCTTGTAATGCAGCTTGTTGCGGTCAAAGTTCTGCGCCTTGACAGCGCGCCAGTAGAAAAGGAAGGTGGTCGACATGATGAGGAAGTCGATGATACCACCAGCAGTCATCAAGGCAACCAGCCAGTCGAGGACCTTGGCGGAGCCGGAGTTGAGCTGAAGCAGAGAGAGGAAGGGGAAGATCATGACAATGCAGAAGCACCAGATGGGCACACCGTTGCTCAGAGTGTAGCGGAGAATGCGGGGGGCACGGCCCTCGAGAGCCAGACCATACAATGAACGGGTGGCACAGAAAGTGTAGGTGTTGCCGGCAGAGAAGATCGAAGTCAACATAAGAACGTTGACGATATGGGGCAGCACCGAGATACCCATGTTACCCATGGCAATAACGTAAGGGGAAGCACCAGCACCGGAGGTGTTGGCTTCAACACCCTCAATCTCAGCACCATTGGCGACGGCGAGCTTCACGTCGTTGCTGGGAAGCACAATTCCAACACACAGAGCACTGCCGAAGAAAAAGAGCGCGAAACGGAAGTACACGGTCTTGAAGGCGGTCTTGATGTAGATGCGGGGGCGCTTGGCCTCAGCAGCGACCATGGAAATATATTCGGGACCAACGACGGCGAAACTAGCATTCCACAGAGCAGCGAGGAATCCTTCGAATCGACCGAGGGCTCCCGAGCCGAGGTACTCCTTAAATGCGCCAGGGTTCTGCCAGTAGTAAAAGCCATAGGCGAACTTCTGGGGGTTGCCGCCAACCATAGTAATGAATGTAAAGGCGAACAGCATGAAGATCAGGATGACTTTTCCGCCGGAGAGCCAGAATTCAGCTTCACCATATCCGCGAACAGCAAGCACGTTCAGAAGACTATACAATCACACGATTCAATGTTTAGCATGCAATCTTTCAATCAAAGGGGGGAGCAGGGGGGATCGGGAGAGCAGGCAGTTTCCATGAGGTCAAAGCGAAGAGTGCATGCACACACGCCCATCACGAACACAGACAAAACATAGGACGAGGCGGAGGTCGCCTGTCTCTCCCTGGGAGACATATTCCTTACCCATAGAGCAAGATAATGCCGATGCAGATACCAGCTGTTGGACCCGGATCGGGGATCTTGTCGCTCCAGTACGAAGCCACCAGGCTAAAGGCAGTAATTTCAAAGGGGATCAGCAGGGCCTCGTATAGGAAGAAGTTCCAACCGGCCATGAAGCCGAAGGCGTCATCAACCCAGTGACCAGCAAGACGGATGAAGCCACCAGACACGGGCATGTGAACAGTCATTTCAGCGACGGAGTTGTTGACGAGAGCGAGAATGCACGGGTAGATAGTGTAGGCAAGGAACAGACTGCCGGGGCCGCCTTTGTAGAGACCGCCGCCAATGCTGACGAACAGAGCAGTACCGATGGAACCACCAATGGCGATCAGCTGGATCTGACGGTTGTTGAGACGACGATGCAGACCGTCGGCGTTGTCTGCCAGGTGCCCATCCTCAATGTCGGGGGACCCGGGGGAGTCCACCTTGACGTGTTTTTCCTCATCCATGGTGAACGAGGGCCGTCGGCGGGACGAATTGGCGACGGGTTCGGGTTGTCGAGCAGCTTACCAGAAGCCAAGCCAGAGAATTCGACGAGGAGGGAGGAGGAGGATTCAATGAATCAGAAGAGATCGACCAAGGTATCCCAACTGAGAAGAAAGAGCAGAAAGGAAGTTAGTTAGGTGGCTCATGGGAGAGAAAACAGAGAAAAGGGAAAGGCTCTCTCGCAGACAGAGGTGGGCGCGTCGAGTATTTAACCCAAGCAGCAATGCGACCAGCGATCTCTGTTGGTGGTAGGCAGGGACGGTGGAGTTGGCAGGCATCATGATGGTTATTGGAGGGCCACAAAATGGGCAGATGGTGCAGGAGCCGCACCTACACTCGCCCGAGAGGGTGGGGACCAGGCTCAATGGCCGCCGCCCCAAGTACCTCTTTGCCTCTCAACCTTGCGCGCATCCCGACAGTCGAGCTGGTGTAAATGTCGCATACAGTTAACCTCGATCGTGGACGGCAATGTCTGAGGCCGGGATACGGTGGATCCTCCCCCAAAAGCCTTGTCTCAACAGCGAGTGAGCACTGAGTTGAGTTAAGTTGAGCTGCTCCCCATTCCTGTGTGGCCCCACGGCACTAGTGCCATAGCGCTCTCGCCCCATCCACCTCCATGGGCGCCGAGTCTTGGCGCAAGGTACCTGTTCCACAGCAACACGAAGGCGCTGGAATAAACCTCGGCGGGCTGTTAGCAGGGTACCCGGCTTGCCGTGCTTCGTCGCCCGAATACGTTGTTCTGCGCTATGCTCCCACTGCTTACTACGGCAGGCACACCATCCACACCTTCTCTTAGGTAGGTAGGCACATAATGCACCTCCCACGAGACCGACAGTGCCACCTTACGTAGCAGATGCATCGAGGGTGGCGGGATGAGATGCGATGATGGTAGGTACTGCTGCACACCGTGGAAGTACCCGGCCTTCCCTTTCTTCTAGAATGCCCTCCACGGAAGATTCATGAGCCTCTTCGACACAGCTCCCGCAGTTAATTCAACTTGGCATATGCTTGGGTTCTTGGCCATGCCAGGGCTCCGAGGCCACCATCCGAGTGATCAGCATCTGACAATAGCTGCTAGCAACACGAAAATAGCATGCTAGAAAGTCATTACACGGCAGTACGTAAAGTACTTCAGACCACCAACAGTGATCAATGAGCGGGCCCCCCGACCCACGCCGCCAACATGCAGGAATCAATCCAGCGCCTTCAATCTTCCATGGCTTCTGATGCATTTGAAGAACATATATCCACATTTCCTCGAGTCTAGACCAAGATATTCGAAGATCGGACGCTATGACAAGCATATTAAACGAAAAACGAGGCGATCATCCTCCAGGTGCAAGCCATCTTGACATCCGTATCCCACCACACAAAACATCATCGACGCAGCACGTCAACGCCCGGGACCGGTGAAACTCTACGCACAAAAGAACCGCGACAGACACTTCTTCTCCCCGACCACCTATGTCATGCTTGGCAGCTGACCTTCCCGATTTGGGCCAGGGAGCGTCAGCAATCGCACTGTACCAGCTCTGCCCGCTGCTTGCGCCAGGAAATACAGTGGCGTCCACAGTGCAGGTGGCTCCCTGCCCGCAGCCTTGGCGGAAGGCAGCCACATAAAACCGCCCAGTAGGAACGCTCGCTGATGGCGCTCCGTTTGGGATGGCCATGTACAAAAATACAAGTCCATGCTTCGTCCAGGCATGGGCCCTGGGTAGGATTCTCCGGCCATGCGTCTATGTGGAAATACCCCGGCTCCCTTTCGGATGAGGGATCGGCAGTGGTGCAATCCCTT